AAAATTTCACTCTGTGTTCCCTGCCTACCAAGGAACGGTTGCTATTTAATTTTTTCTACAGATAAACTACATCAACATTTATTAATCAATTTATTTAAAAACATATGTCTGTTATAAAAGCTTTGGAGATACAAAGATTAAATAGATGTAGTTTCTCCAATATTTACTACTTCATGGGGCAAACAGATGTAACACAAAGCATAGTTATTACCATTACAGGTGTGAGCCAGGTGCTGCAGAGCAAAGAGGATGCATGTGTTTTTACAACTCAGCCCTGCATTTATGAGCTTACTCATTTCAGTGAAGTTACATATGACTCATGAAAGTATATTATCATTGGACGAAATGAAAAATAACCAAAAAACAACCAAACCCTGTAACGTTAAATGTTGTTACTATATTTTTGTTTAAGTAATTAAAAATTTTTTTACCTGTTAAAAGTAATTTGTGGCCTGGACAATGATCAGAACAGAAATACTGCCTTTTAATTTACTGAGAATAAGGGAGTTTTGATTTAGTGATTTGAACACAAGGTTCAAAGGAATAAGCCATTTCTTTGTTGTTAAGGAATAAGCCATTTCTTCCCTATTTCTGTCTCCTTCCCTGAGTGTCCTGTATGGTCTTCACTTGTTTGTAATATAATTAAGATGAAAGTAATTTAAAGATATTGTACAGTCCTGAAATCATGCTAAGTGCAGCATAATTATTTTATAATAATTCAGGAGGCATCTAAATCATTGACATGATTTCTTCATAGAACAATAATGATGCCCCTTCTTTTGGGACCACTGACTCACAAGGAAAAAAGACAAATGAGGTCTTACACAAATAAAAATCACTCTTGCTTTTTTTTTTTTTTTAATTTTATTTCCAGGGATGTAAGATTTAGCTCACCTAATTTTTAAAGAGACACAGCGTGAGAAAAAAGAAGATATGGTGACATCTCTTCCTTCTTACCAGTTCTACAAAGGGTGATTTGAACCCTTTGGAGAGTTATAGAGTAGTTAGTTATTATAGAGTACTTAGTTAGAATGAAGTCTAAACTGAGGCTCAGCTAAGAAGGAAAACTCTTCTTGTATTTCAGGCCCTTTGGAGAGTTATAGAGTAGTTAGTTATTATAGAGTAGTTAGTTAGAATGAAGTCTAAACTGAGGCTCAGCTAAGAAGGAAAACTCTTCTTGTATTTCAGTGTTTATAAATGGGCTTCATGGTGGTCTCTTCTGTACCTTTCAAAATTGCCAATCAGCTTATTATAGCCACTCATAATTGTAATTATGCCAAACCCTTAAATTCAGGGCCTCTCCTTCAAATGGGATAATGAGCGTACTACCAAGAAAAGAGACCCCGAGATTTTTTCTTCACGAGACAGCTTGGCCGTCTGTGGTCCTTGTGATCACGGCAGTAAGTCAGTAAGCCTACATGTTTGTGAAGTTGTTAGGAATTGCTGACCTTTCTACAGTATGTCGTTTCTCAGTTGAGACTTAAGTAACTCATTTCACAATAAGCTGTGGAGGTTTTTCCTCTTATGGAACCTCAGTTAACACAACTAGTCCGTTATTGCTACCAATTTTAGAGAAGTAGGTGTTTATTCCTTCAAATCATAAAAGGGAAGTGATCCTGTTTGCATTCGTGTCCTTGAGAAAAGTCAAGATGGCTCTTACACACATAGAGGAAAAGGAAACAATACACTTTACTTATAAGAGGTAGAGGGAAAGGAGAGATTCTTTCACAGTTTCATGGTGATCTTTAGCAGTCTGGCCTTTAAATGTTTCCTTTCTGTAGCATCAGTTGCCAGCATTGAGGTGGTAACAACAGAGGCTGCACCTTGAGAACCATGTGGGCTTCCTCTGTTGTGATAGCTAACTGGTTATGAAACGTTTTTTAATCCAGAGAGCTTTAACTTGATGTATAATTTTAGGGTGTCTTACACGTTGGTGGTGTTAAGCTTCTTCTTTGAAGGCTGTGTGCACCTATATTGAGTGCGGTTTTTTTTTTTTTTTTTTTTTTTTTTTTACCATTTTCATTCCACAACTTGAAACAAGCAAGCTATTCATGCCTTTCTGAAGGGGTAAAGAGGCTAAGTGTTGTGGTTGATTGAAGACAGGTGGCTTTGTTATTAGAATATGTCACTTATCACTGGATATACTTGAAACAGAGGCTAGGCAGCATCTAATTTCTGGGCCTTTCCGTATGTGAAGACAATAATTAGTTGGCTCAACATGTGGCCCCTTTTCACACACATGGTCCCTCCATTTACTAAGTTACCATTTCAGTGAGCTCCTACTGTCCATGCAGTGCCCAAGACAGAGATATGGGTATAGTTCTTATGTCTTCTTTTCTCTCCCACCCTACCCCACTCATATTCAATCAATTATGAGGTGTTTCCTTTCCGTATTACCTTCTAGAGTTGTTTCTATTCCTCCTCCTACCATCCTAGTCTAACCCACTGTTATTTCCCATTACATTAATATGATGGCGCCCTAATTGTTGTTGTCTTGCCTACCTACCCCTCATCATCTCCCTAATAAAAACATTTAGTACTACACACTGCAAAATGAAGTTTGTATAACATAGTATTTAAGGTTATGGGTTCTGTAGCCAGACTATTTGGATTTGAATCCTGACTCCATTACTTTGGCAAATGCAGTTATGCAAATTTGGGTAAATCCCTAAGCCTCAGTATGTATAAACAAGAAACAAACAAAAAAACAAACAAAAAACCCTAAAACTTTCCTGATTGGGTTGTTGTGAAGATTAAATAGCATAAACATTTAGCATAGAGCTTGGTACATAGCAAGCACTCAAATCACAACATGAATACTCAAAATGCAAAGCTGAGTTTTCTACTCTACTACTTAAAACCCTCTAATCTCATCATTTCTTCTAGGATGAAGCCCAAATTCCTTTAGCATGCCACGTAAATCCCAGCTCCCTTCTCCAGTCCCTTCTCTCGCTGCTCCTGTCCCGATTTGTGTCCCTCTTAACCACTTCCACTGCCCTCAGTTGTCCATGCCTTGTCTTGTCTCTTGTTCACACACACACTCTCCCATTTACCTGGGGCACCTTTGTACCCCAAGTCTAGCAGTTTTCCTCCCCCTCCTTTACCACCAAGCACTCCTTCTCTTTGTGTGGCTGACTCGCACTCATCCTTTAGGTCTCACCTCATGTATCATTTATTCTAGAAAGCTGTACCTGATACTCCAGGACTTCCAAGGAACCTTTGAATGCCTTCTTCATAGTAGTTGCCACACTATTGTGCAACTGTGGATTCTTTTGTCTGTGTGCTCTGCCTGACTATAATAAGCCTTTGAGGATAGAGTCTGGGTCATGTTTGATTTTTTATATCCAGTTCTTGGCAGTTTCATTCAATTATGATTTGTTTAATACATTAATAAGTCAGTACTCAGTTGGGGGTATATGTACTATGAAGTTTCGTGATGCCTAGCAAGCCCATAATAGGCACCTCATTAATATTTGTTAAATGAGTAGATGACTGTTTAAACATTTGTGTACCTTTAATTGGCAATTCTTTATCTCATATGGATACATTTAATATTTAATATTTTAGAAAATCTTAGTTAATTCTAATTCCTAAAACTCTAAATTCTAAGAAATCGTAAAGTTATCTCGTGTAAATAAGTTAGATGATTTAGCAAAGTTATATAATTTTTGGTTAAGAAGAAAAAGGTGTGATAATGAAATAATGAAATGAGTTTGTCTTTATGTTTCGTTAGCCATCTCTGAAGGCAGTATATTTTAAATTGTTGCAGATGACACAAAGGACTATCAGATAGCTTCTAATCTCAAAGAATGTATCGACTGGGAGAAAAAACTTACACTGAGATAATATTGTGCCAAAACACCTATCACATCTCTAGCCATAAAATCAAGTGCTCATCAGTCGTCTTTGGTGATCTCAAGTTTATATTTTTCCTGAACAAATTGTGCTAAGAGTTGGCTTATTAGGCCAAAGAAAATTTATATTTATTTATATTTATTTCAACAAAGAAAATTATAGATTTTTTGAGAGGTACATTAAAGACATTTATGCCAATCCTGTTTATATTAGCTCTTTGTGTTGCAAGTGACAGATCGCTTAGCAAAAGGTGGAGGTATTGATTTATTTCATGTAAGTGGCCCATGTTATCTAGGAACAGCATGGTGCTCAGACTTTGGTTTCTGAATACCACTTACCATATAAATGGAAGCAGACCTGCTTGGAGAAATGGCTGATTTCCAGAACTAGAGAAGGGGAAATATGAGATGGGTCTGAGACAACTTGATATAAGAAAATGAGAAAACAAAGATTAATGGAATCATGCCAAAAGGACACAGGAACCAGTTCGAAGGGACCCCCAGTGGTCAAATTTGGGACAATATGAACATCAAGAAGAATAAGGGAAGGTAGGAGAATCTCCTTTTTATAGAA